CCATATTCGCATATCAAAGCAGAAGTCGCCCTGATCCACGAGGTGTTAACGCTGAAGCGGCCGCCGCCTCGACCACCCCAGGACCAGTTTCCCTCGGAACGGTTGTGGTCGATTGTGATGGAATGCCTCTCCCCGATTCCCACGTCCCGTCCGTCCGTTAGCCAGCTCCTCCTCGCGCTCAAAGCACTTCAGGGTGTATGCCTGCTGTGCCCCTTCGTGGCTGGCGTCCCATGCTCGTGCCCCCCGCGTCCTAAAAAGCGAGCTGCTGAGGATGTGGTTGTCAATCATAAGCGCGTACGGCTCGATCGTGTTGAGGCCAGTAATGGAGTCAAGTCTCGGGTCGCGGAATTGAGATCCAGTCCCCAGGCGCCGACATTTCCGTTGGAACGGAGAGCCATGCTTATTGAGCATGGAAGTCGAGGCAGTGTTTACCTCGTCGATGAAGGGGACTGGAGGATGGTCGCCCAGTAGATTAAATACACGAATGCGTCAGACAGGTATCCACAGTGGACGGCTCAACGTGTTCAAACGCTTTTATACCTGGCCGACCACGAGAATGTCATTCAGCATTTCAGAATCGAGGCGTCGCCTGGGATGACGAAAACGTGCGTGTTGTGCATTTCTTTTTGCGTAGAGTGTCGATAGGCCCACAGGCTTTCGAATTTTACTGAATATGACATGCCCGGCGCCCTGCACTATTTTCTGAACACGTATGGCGCGCTTGGAGATAGCTATCTTGCGAGAGCATATCTCTGGGATATCGTCAATGGTCTTCGATATCTTCACGACACGATGAACATCATTCACCGCGTAAATATTTCCCTTCACGCCACTCGTATAAGTAATCAACGCCACTAATATCAATATAGGACTTGTGCTCCGACAACATCTTCCTCGAAGACGGCCGGTGTGTCATCGGTGGATTCGGATTACACAGTGGGCTTGGAATAGAAAAGGCGACGAAGTGTTCCATAACGCCAGCAGCATGTAGCGTCTTTTGGATGGCACCAGAGATGATGAACTGTAGCCTTGGAGATCTAGTAGTCATGTACGACACAAGGGTTGACATATGGAGTCTCGGGTGTCTGGCATACGAGATGTGGACGGGCGAATCTTTGTGGGCGAGTAGTGTCTCAATTGCTGCCTCAGTAGTGGATTTTCTCGCTGACAGGGCCCGGGCGTTGGAGACCCCCCCCCCCGCCCGAAGGCATGAATCTTTCCTATGACGCAGAAAGTTTTCGGCAATGCTGTCTTGCTTTGTAGGTCCCGTCGTTATGTTGATTCTATACTCGGCTGACAAGGCTGTGCATAGTACACCAGAGCGACGTGCTTCGGCTGCTCAACTGCAGAACCATGCTTATTTGGTCATGGATGGCGCCGAACGTCTTTGCGATACGAATAAGTCAAGGGAAAGTGGCGTAGTAGTGAAGGCAGAACTAATCTGATTATGTCGACTTGTTATATGTAACTATTCGACTTTTATCACAACCATACAAGTCCTGTCCATGAACGGAGAATCAGAGAGAGATGAGTCCGAGTCACTGGCTCCATATGGTCAAGACGTGTGGCTTAGTGTAGCGCGTCTTTCTCCGGCTGTGTCATGTGGTCTTTTGAGATAGATTCTGGTCCAATTGCCATAGTGGACAGTCCTAACCGAAGTCTCAGTACAGAAGCCTGGCATGAATGGCAACACCTTCGTTTTTTTACCTGCTTAGACTTGTTGTTGCAATAGCGGCGATCAACATGCTCCGAAACACCCGAAGGCTCTTTTCCCGCAACGTCCACCACCGTGAACCTGTTCTGGACTGCAGCCTGCCACGCCGATGTGGCTCAGTGGTTTCATTCGGTGTTTGAAAGCGGTTGACGAAGCGGTGACCTTTTTAGGACTTGATGCGGCCGGACTTTCGCATGGATGGTATCTCGCCTCACCGATACAGCCCGCCTTCGAGTTCTGATCTTGGTATTGTACATCGTGGTACCCGCGCGTCTTGATTGTGCCAAAGTAAGTCGTCTCGCGCGTTGTCAATGTCTGAGAGTACAATACTAGCCGGCGTACGACACAAGCAAGATGCTCAAGTTAGGGTCGCGACGTGACTCGGAAATCTCCGTAGGTTCTTTTTCCCGTACTGTCATCATGAGCCTACTCTGGATTCCAGGCTGCCACACCGATGTGGCTTAGTGGGTCCATCGGGCGTTTTGACTTCTCATCTTCGGTGCAATCTTTTTGTTTACCTTTGGTGGCGTGCCTTTGGCTACCTATACATGTAGTCTGCTTCGGCGACGTGTTTCCCTTTTAGTGAAGATCGTGGTTTCCTTATGCGGAGTGAAATGTCGCATTCTCCAGCCTTTACTGCATCCCGCCAGGTGCTTTGTTATTCGCTCTTTGTCTTAGTCTACTGACTTACTGCTTGGCGCCAGTATTTCTGTCGTCATCCGCCCTTATGTACTTCTGGCATACGTGAACCGCGTACCCTGCGAGAGAATTCCGAAGGCGGTCGGCTCATGGCTACCCTCTACGTCTGTTTCGCTCTTCAGATTGGGACCTTTCTAGGATGTGATGCGGCTTTCCCTCGCTGTACGGTGCAAAGCGTCTTACCAACAGCAGGCGTGTGACTAAAACGCTTTCGCATGGATAGTATCTTGTTTTCGAGGACTTCTCCATCGTGCAACCGGACTCGGAACTCGGTACAGCTTGGCATTTGTTTCGCTGTCGGCAGTCACAAGCGTATGTCCCAATAGTACTACGTGTCTGTCTGCTTTGGATGTTCGGTTTTTTTGTGTTTCCTAGGTCGTCTGGTGTCGTGTGAGGTGTACAAATCAGCCATATCCAACTCGCCATCAACCTGAGTGCAGACTGGGACCTTTTCTACTCGAGGCGCGTTGCTTAGCGGTTCCGCGTCCTATTAATTGTTTCGTCTCCTTTTTTTACCTGTATGATTCCGACAGCGTCCACCTCTATCTCTCCCTCAGGCTGTACACCGGAGGCACATCGCTTAGCGGCAGCGCGTCTTTATAGCTCTTTGGGTGACTGTTTTGGATTGTGTTTTCACTGCCAACTTTTCAGTCGAAGAACTGATCACAACTTTGACGGTTTGGGGCCGACCCAGAACGGACCGTTTCCTGTTACTGTTCAGAGTCTAAGTTGTGTTCTCCACGGCTCTGGAAATTCACTGGACCTGCTTTTCCCGCAACGTCCACCGTAAACCTGCTCTGGAGTGTAGCCTGCCATGCCGATGTGGCTTAGTGGTTTCATTCGGTGTTTGAGGTATTGACATCCTTTTTAGGACTACCAGGCAGTAGGCGTGTGACTGAACGTTTTCGCATGGATGGTGTCTTGCTTTCTAGATTTTCTCTCCAACGACGACGTGGATCTGTCTGCAACCGGACCTGGATGTACGCACACCTTGGAAATTGCTTCTCCTTCCGTCGTTACTCACAGGTGTATGACTCATCGGTCTGCCTGCAAGTAGGCATGTTCCGATAGGCTTTGTTTTTTCTGTTTCCTAGGTCGCCGATTTGTCTGCTGTCGTATGAGTTGGAACTATGAGGCGTGACAATTGCTGTAGTGCCACACCACCAAATCTAAGCAGTTCCACTCGAGGCGCGTCGCTTAGCGGTTTCGCGTGTTGTAGCGTTATGATCGTGATCTCTGCGTTTTTTGTATTGATTCCATGCCTGTCACTGTGATGTGGGATTATCTCAGTTCCCTCAGGATGTACACTCGAGGCGTATCGCTTAGCGGCAGCGCGTCTTCGTAGTCTGCGGCAGACCCATTGTTTTGGATTGCGTTTTCAGTGTCAACCGTCGAGTGCATTTGATGGGGTCTCACTATACCCTGCGATGGCCTGGCTCTTCCTTCGAGTTGTTCTTCCTCTAGGTGCTAATCTTCGCATGCTAGTGTATCCTAGCAGATGCATTGAAAGCGCATCTGGTAACTGGTTGCATTCTCATACATACTGTTTTCTCTACCACCATACTCCGTTTCCACCAGCCCGTTCCCTAGGCGCGTTGTGATACAGTCTCTGACATGACTTCCAAATTCTTAGCTCTCTGCTCTTAAAAACCTCCACCACCACTTTCCTCCTTCTTGAATCTTCTTAAGCTCCGCAACAGTAAAGTCATGATAAGTAAGGGTTTGAGAGGCGTTAGCTAGGGTAGTGGAAACAACCTAGGTTAGAGTACCAAGAGGTTGTTTCCTGGTAAATTACTGGTTATTTACCGGTTTGTAACCTAAGTCTGTTGGAGCTAGGTTATTTACCTGCACGTGACATATCCACGTGATGTGTGGCGCTCGGAAAAACTTAAAAGGTAGTATGCACTAAGTATATTCAGAGGCAAGCAAAGTTACTAGTGCCATTAAAATCTATCTGACTCTGATGGGACCAAGGAAGTGTGATATCCGGCTGAAAACACTTGATGGCTGCTGCTGCGCTGCATGGCACTGTCCCGCGGAGACGTCACGTGAAAATATCACGTGCAGGTAAATAACCGTTTTTAACCGGTAAATAACCTGGACCTCTGGGAGGGTAGGTAAATAACGGTTATTTACCACCCTCCGAGGTTATTTCCACGACCCTAGCGTTAGCGATGTGGCGCAAAAAACACCACAGAAGAAGAGAAGGCACTACCAGGGATCGAACCTGGGTTACGGGAAGAACGGAGATCTACCGAATCAGAATCCCGTGTGCTACCGCTACACCATAGCGCCGTACCGCTGTGACGCCACTCCCCTTGATAGGGCTAGCGTTTGCAGTGGAACCAAGGCTCAGAAAGTCAATGTTCAATTTACTATGGAAGGATCTGACAGATTCTTTCAAAGAGGACAAGTTTCAGAAAGAATAACTTCAAAACATGGGACACGGACGCTGCCGAATTGGGCTTGCACACAAACAATGGTCACACGTGACGAGCATTTTTACGCGACGACCACGACCACGACGTTGGCCAAGCTCTCCATCGACTGAGGCAAACGACCCGCGTCTAATTCTCCCCCTTACATTCGGGACATATCCACGCCGGGCAGCTGGAGCAAAGGTGGGTGTGGAAAGTGTGGGTTTGGAGCGGACGACGCGCTGATTGTTCGGTTAGCAGCGCCCATCTACCCAGCGAGGACCACGGCCCTGCTCATCAAGGTGTGTACCAGCGTCGTTTTTTCCATCTGGGTCGTGTGCTGACGCCGACCGTAAGATTTCACGAAGCAGTCATCGCTTCATTCCTGGACTACCCTTCCATCCTGTCCCCGACCGATCTATAGCCCTCGCGCCGTAGCTACACCCCGAATAGTACCAACCAAGGTGCGTCTCCGTCTGCTCTTGCTGTGCTGATTGGGCGCTCACGTCTCCATTCCACCAGCCACAATTCCATTCCAGGACCACCTCTACCCCAAAACACGCCCATCACCGCCCATGGCCTCCCCCGTCCAATGCCAAAACTGCGGCACCCGCGTCGTCGGCGTTCGCACGCTCATGCCTCTCTCCGATCTCCAGCGCATCCACCGCTCCGGGCCGTACCTCCCCGCCCCGGAGATGCGCAAATATCACGAAACGCTCAGCGACGTCCAGGCCGACATCACCACCCTCCAGACCGTCATCGCCGAGCTCGAAGCGTACGCGTCCCAGATCCGCACCATCGTCTCACCCATCCGCTTTGTGCCTAATGAGATATTGTGTCTTATCTTCCAGGCGGTGTGTGCAGACGCGACACCCGAGACGAGGATGCTGCCGTTGATACTGAGCAGTGTGTGTGCAAGATGGAGGGAGGTGGCGGTGGGGACGCCGCATTTGTGGACCTTCATTTATGCTGCACCGCGTCGACAGCGGCTGCTTTGTCCCGACGAAGAAGCGCCCGCGCTTGAATTGGAGAGAGATAGGATTGGGGAGGTGATCCCGCTTTATTTGACGCGCTCGAGGCTGATGCCTGTAAACATCGACGTGGCGACGCAGAGTGCGCCTCTAGTACGCATGCTGTGTAGCGAAGCGCACCGCTGGACCGACGTTCTATTCAACATGCCCGCCGCGTGCCTCGGCGAGATGTACCAGAGCCTCGACGCGAAGCCGCTGCCCAACTTGACGAGTCTGACGCTCGTGGACCTTACGGACGCCAACGGACTGCCGTCAACAGCGCCTGCGCCCTCGCCTCTCACGGTCTTTGCGCATACTCCCAAACTGCACATGCTATGCCTTGGTGGCCGGTGTGCGATCTAGCCAACCACCCCCTCCCCTATGGGCGCATCTCGAGCCTCGTGCTGTCGTGGATGTCGGAGCCACTTGGGATCCTGCGCGTCATCGAGCTCTGCACGAGCGCCTACCACGTCAGCGTGAGCGACACCTTTATCGAATGCGACGACGAGTCGACGCTTCCGGACGTAAGCACCAAAGCCCCGTTTGTCTCCTTCCGCCTGGGCGGGCTCGGCCGCATTCAGCATGTGCTTGAGCACATCACCGCACCTGCGATGTTTAGCCTGAAGCTCGCCCCCGCGGATCCGAGCAAGCCAGGCCCTGGCGCGTTCGAGCTAGATGGGATGATCGATTTCGTGCGGCGCTCGGCGGCGAGTCTGCGGCGGCTGGAGATTGCGTGTGTGAGAGTGAGCGATGTGGGGTTGCTGCAGCTGTTGGCTGCGACGCCTGGCTTGACCGAGCTGTATGTGCATCAGCAGCCGGGAAGGAAGGCGACGCCGTGATCACGTCGGAAGTCATCCGGCGGCTCACGATTCCGCGCGCCAAGGGGGAGACGGGGGAGGTGCTGGTTCCGAATCTGAAGGGCATCATGTTTAATTGGCAGAGGCGGAGCAAGCCGGTGAGGAAGCTGGATTTGCTGAGGATGGTCGAGTCGCGCGCGCCGGCGATTATTGATGTGGATTTGGAGGTGGTGGAGGAAGAGGTGGGGCGGGCGTTGAAGGCTGTGACGTTTAGGGGATTTGAGGAGGATGAGACGGGGGGCGAGGCGGAGGAGGTGGTGAAGAGGCTGAGGCGGGTGCCCAAGTTTAAGATGGTGATTGGGGCGTGCGTTGTGCGTGGGCCGGTTTGAGGGCGATTCGTTTGGAACGCGAGGGAGGTAAGTAAGGAAAAGGCGACTGTGCCGAGTGAGGATATTTGATGTGGATAATATACAGTAAATTAAATCCTTTTGCTTGACATCCGTTCTTGTATTTCCGATGTCAGTGGCGGACGTTGGTGATGAGTTACCACGGGAGTGTACAGGACTGGAAGCTCTATAGGAGGCCTAGTTAACTGTCGGCTTTGCTTTCAGACCGGTAAACAACTGGTACGTAGTGGACTTGTATTATACAGAAACGGACAGAGGATGAGGCTGTTAGCTGCTGCTCGTGGTAAGAATCCCAGGGACATTTTGGCTGAGGAGAGGTTTAGGGTGGTGCAGTAAACCCTAGGTTTCGATACACCTCGGGTTTACTGCGGTTATTAATGGTATTGATACAGTATTGAAACTGTCGGGGGTCAGGAGGTAGGTTTCGATACCGGCAGGTGATCGCTGCACGTGACGGAGCGCTGGCGTTCGGAGAAGCTGTGAGTGGCGGGACAAGGGCGGGATGAGGACAGCGCACCGATGCGCCACATCACGTGGTCACGATCACGTGCCGGTATCGAAACCGTTAGAAACGCCGAACGGTCTTAAAACTAAGGCCTCCCGGGGGGTCGGTATCAATACCGTTACTAACACCCCCCGGAGGTTTACTGCACCACCCTAGAGAGGTTGGCGCGCAGTGTGGCGTAATGACAGTTGACCAACCCATTTTTCAAACCAAGGCGCGTGTGGCGAGAGACTAAAAATGTGATTAAAAAACAAGGTACGAGCAAGCGCATGGGGACACCCAGGATCGAACTGGGGACCTCCAGAAAATCACAATTGATGAAAGTTGAAGCTGTTTCACTTCAGTCTGTTGCTCTCCCAGCTGAGCTATGTCCCCGGTAAGAAGCGAACTTCCACTTGATGGTTCGTAGAGCGCCTAGACGGTAGACTATGTCCCGCGGTGTCAGTCCGCCTCAAGTATTTCGTTCGGCGTGTACAGTCATGATAAACACTGGCACGAGGAAGAGGCAGACATTAGCAATCAGCAAGAGTCAGACGAAACCAGTGTACGAAACAATGAGGGCCATCCAGTATAATAGAAGCCTGATGGACGTCTGTCGATTAATCCAGAGCGGAAGTTGCTGTTGTGGAAGAACAGATCCACGAGTGTATCATCAAAGGCAAGTCAAGACCGCCGAAGCCCACGAGGAGATCGGAGCGCCGTGATATTGTGGATCTTCTTGTTCACTCGAGGAAGGCTCTCCGTTCCTTCTACTCGACGGTGTGAGTAATCCGTGAGTGGGAGTCCGCCGACATCCCCGCGCCGGTTCAAGATAGAGCTGTACATCACGTGGATTTTGTTTACCCACGGACCCTGCAGGCCCAGTGTCGTTTGCTTCCGTCCAACATCCATCCATGATCATCTCTGGAATGTCAACGTTGCTTCTCTGAGCTGTTGCATCTCTGCGTATCCACCTAGCTGTATGGCTGTCATTTCCGTGTAACGACGACTGTATCCTCCCAGATGATTGCCATCAAGGCAATTTAGCTCGGGACGTACTTACACTGGAGGCAATGACACTGGCAACCGCTTTTAGGCGCCAATCTTTCTCGCATGTGGAAGGCTGAGCCAAGCCAATGATGTCCGCAATGTCAAACTGATGCTGGTCGCGACGAGTATTGATGTCGTCCTTACCCAGGTACGCATTCTATATAAGACCGGCATGCCACACGCGCCCTCCATTACACCCCTTCCACTCCCTTCGTTCGTTCTTCGCGCCCAGGTCGGCACTGGGATTGATTTCCCCTTTGCTTTTTTGTTCATTATTTAAAAAATGTCTCCTTCCCTCTTCGTTCTTTTAACCCTCACCGCCGCAGTTGGCGCGGCAAACGACTGGTCCCAGCCATGCTTCAGCGGCGTCTGCGAGTACTCGCTGCCCGTTACCAACGCCTCGAGCTCTGGGTCGATGAAAATCGTGCGTCCATCACGTCGTGTCAATTTGCAAAAGCGCTAACCCGACAATCTGGCAGTGGGGTTCGGCCGACGCGATATCGGATATTACGCCCGCTGCCGGGTGGGATATTATCGACTGTACGCCGGACGCGGTGTCCCAGGACATCCGCCTCGTATGTACAGGCGCGTCTGCGGACTGCGGTCACCTGTATCAGAACATTGGGGCGGTGAACAAGATTGTGCGATTACCTGAAAGTGTGCGTTTTGTCCTTCTTGCTCCTTCCATCAAGCTTATATGCCCATATGCGCAATCTAGTGCGGCTCCAACGCATTCGCACGCGTCGCCAAAGCATGGACACCCACAGACCAAACCGTGCCCGCCCGCCTAGCGCGTCGCGCAGACCCTCAGCCCGTCCGTGCGCTCACACTCGACACCGATTTCGCATCAGCAGATACATCCAAAACTGGGACAGTCAACTTTATCCTCCAAGGTGCCAACGTCCCAGGCGCCGACGCCGACCTCTCCTCTGTCTCTACCACTGCGAACGTGAAGCGCATGCGCCGGGTGACACAGCGTGGTTTTGGTGATTTCTTGAAAAATGCGATCAAGAGTGAGCCGCGCCTTCCTTTGCATTGCATTATACTGATGAATGAATGTCATTGATTAGCAATAACCAATGCGCTTCAGAACAAGATTGACGAGAGCAAATCCTTCGATATACCCGTGGACGTGGATCAGACGTTTAATCTGCTCAACGAGACCGTGGACTGTCCGCCTATTTCGGCGAAGCTGAGCGTTGATGTGCAGGCCAAGGCGCACGCGGTCGCGACGATTGGGGTCGCTGCTTCGGGTACAATCATCCCGCCCAATATAGATACCTTTGGGATTACTGCAAGTCAGTGACTTCCTTCATACATGGGTAAAGGGTGCTTATGATTGATGTGTTCTAGCCCTCAATGCGGAGCTTGCTGGGGGTATTGATTTGACAGCCGACGTCGCCGTGAGTACCATTCGATCCATACCAAAGGAGCATTAATACTGATGTTCAAGTTGGTCTTCAGGGCACACTAGACTCAGGAAACATCAAGCTTTTCGAAGTCGGTATTCCCGGCCTGAGCTTTCCCGGGTGAGTGAATCCAACACACACTCTTCTTTGCTCTAGCTGACGCCGAGCACAGAATCCTGGAAATCGGACCTACATTCCAAATCAACGCTCAGGCTCTCGCCAAGTTGGACGTCAACCTCGATATGAACGTCGGCATCGTGTACACCATCTCCAACGCGTCGTTTGTCTTCCCTCCCGGGATCGACGACAGCACAGACGGGGGAAACTTTGACATTGGTGATACTCGTGCGTATTAGCATTACTCTCGTTTACCACCACCACCTAACCTCATGCCATCATGGTAGCTCTGCAACTGTCCGTATCTCCCTCTGTCAACGCCACGGGTACCATCGAGGCGCATCTCATCCCCTCGATTAACCTCGGGATCTCCGCGCTTAATATCGTCGATGCGAGCGTGTTCCTCGAGCTCGATGCCAAGGCGGCGTTGACGCTCGAGCTGGATGCAAGCGCCAATGGGACTGTGGTCGTGGATGGTGGGAATGCGACTGAGAGCGCCAGTGCGAGCAGCTCGGATGTCAGCGCGACTGCGAGCTCATATGGAAGCGCGTCCACCAGCACTGATGCCAGCGTGTATGGAAGTGCGACCGTCAGCTCCGAGGCCAGCAGCTCCGAAGCTAGTGTTTATGAAAGCGCGGCCGTGAGCTCTGCTTATGCAAGCGCAAGCGCGAGCGTGGAAGCTAGTGTTTCTGAGAGCGCGGCTGCTTCCTCGCAGGAGAGCGCGACAATGGATGCTCCCAGTGCTGAAGAGACCGGCGGAGCTTCGTATGAGAACTACTCTACGGCGACGGACTATGCTGCCAGTTCATACGCCGACTCGTCGTACAAGCGCTCCTCCGTGCCCGCCTTGGTCTCCGCAGCTCGTGCCGCCGAACGACGTGCCCTGTTATCGAGGGACGTCTCCGCCGATGGAGACGGGACCTTTGGCGGGTGCTTCACCGTGTCGGCGGGGTTGAACGTGAACATTGGCGCTCAGGGAAGCTTCTTTGGGATCTTCAGTGACAGTGTCTCCAAGACGCTCTTTGAGAAGGATTTCCAGATATTCCAGGTTCGTTGGTGGTTTCTCTAAGTGTAACTGAACCGATGCTGATTTTTGGGGGTTACGGTAGAAGTGCTTTGGGGACCAGGCGGGGAGGAGGAGGAGATCTTTACTAGCGCCGTGGGAGACGACGAGTCTTACTGGAAGAGGCGTTTTGGATGATCTGTTGTGTCCGGCGGCGGGGCTGGGTGCTCCAGAGTCCGTCGTTGATGAGAGTGTTAGTGCATCGAGGTATGTTTTCAAGATTGTTGTTATCCACCATATGGGAATCCTGACCTTGTGTATAGTATTGAATGATTTGATTCTCTTCGCATTGGGCGGTACTTATTCCTTTATTTATGACCTCTTGGACACTAGGTATACCCATCCCACTAGCACCGCCTCCGCACTAAAATACACAATCTTTTCTCTTCGAGGACGAAGGAATGGGAAGACAGGCACTCTTTCATTTAGTAGAGTTCTTTTATGACTGAAGCAAAGTAGTGTTTAAAGGACTACCAATGAAGTCGCCCTTCTCAATGCACCATGACCAGCCAGCGTGTGGCGAGGATTGAGAACAGCCTGGATACCAACCACGCATACCAGAACACTCGACTGAATTCCTTGTCTTGTCAGATAGTCGATTTAGAGACCAGATTGAAGGACAGGATTTGGACGATGGAGAGAGCCTGTGAGAAGACTCGAGGTGGCGCCCTCATCTTCCGGCGGGGATGTTGTCTGCCATGAAGGACTTGGAGACACGCGTCTATTCGTCGCGCTATAGCGATATTCGGTTTGTGGGTTCAAACCGTTTACAAACCTAGCATATGAGTTGTTGGAGATGTATGTTCTTGTACACGACCTTGTTTAGATCGACTCGAAACCGGAGCGCGCCTTTGCTAACTTCCAAGGAGCCAGTTTTTTTCAGCCACAGTATTACGGCTCGCGAGAGCTGCATTCTGCTGGTCCTCAGTTCTGCCAGTGCCTGGTTTTCGGAAAATAACTTTCTGCAAATAATTACATCAGTGTATATTCCTGCTCACAGCAAGCTCACATACAAATGCTTCAAGAGTCCAGCAGTGATGGAACCAAAGTCGTCCTCACAGTTGGAAGGTGTAGCCGTACTTATAGGTTAATAGTTTTGGGCCCCAAACTTCAGGAACCTGGGAAGTAAAAAGTAACACAACGACCAAGCGACAACTGGGTGAATCAGTGGTTATTTCCGCCTAGCCAGGTAACCTGGCCTACTAGTATGAGCAAGCGTCGATACAGTCGCCATCATCATCGCCGATGTCTTGTTGGGCGTATCTGAGGTAGATGGTAAAGCCCGTCTTCAACAGGAACGGACGGCGGTGTTGGAAGGATGTACAATTCAGCACCACGCTGGGAAGTGAACAACGAAGGTGAGTTGCTACTAATTGGAGCGCAAAATTGCAGACTGACAGTTAAACGTCTCTTGCCTCCAAGTTGTCTTAGAGAAGCATGGAAGATGTAGGAAGCACCGATTCTCTAACGGGCACATAATATTAAGAGCCAAGAGCAGGAGTCGCTTCCGGAAACCACCGGTCCGCGAGCCGTTCCATAACGCGTATGTATAACGTGTTGCTCCTTCCTCCCAGAGCATATAACACTTTCGCCGCACTCACACTGGACCAGGGTCGACACACTCACACCGACGCGACCACACTCACACTCGGGCCGACACACTCACACTCGGGCCGACACACTCACACTGATCTGACCGGGGAAAATGTAAAGTTCAAATTATCATTCAACTTTGATTCATTGCATGGTCGGGATAA